AAACAGCCATGGGAATAATAATAAATAATAATATTAAAAAAGTAAGAGGCGGTGGTCAGGCCGTGCAAGTTTCGCCCCAGATTGCAAACAGCCATGGGAATAACAACAACAACAGATTGGAAACAGTTGTGGAAATAATAATAATAAGGTAGTGGTGGTTAGGCCATGCAAGTTTTGCCCCAGATTGCAAACAGGCATGGAAATAATCACAATAACAACAACATATTGCAAACAGGCATGGAAATAACAACAATAAAATATAAATAAATAAGAGGAGGAGGTCAGGCCATGCAAATTTTAAGGCAACCCTTTTGCCCCAGGCATGGAAGCAGGCATGGAAAAATAGCAGGCATGGAATAATAATAATAATAATAATAATAATAATAATAATAATAATAATAATAATAGAATTCAAAAATATACCAGCTCATGCTGCCAACTTTTTCTTTGAGATAGTCTCAAAGTGGTACAAGATCTATGTAAATAATAATAATAATAATAATAATAATAGAATTCAAAGATATAGACAGCTTGTGCTGCCAATTTTTTTCTTTCAGATGGTCTCAAAGGTGCTACAAGGTCTCTGTAAATAATAATAATAATAATAATAATAATAGAATTCAAAGATATACCAGCTCATGCTGCCAACTTCTTTCTTTCAGATAGTCTCAAAGGTGCTACAAGATCTCTGTACATAATAGTAATAATAATAATAATAATAATAATAGAATTCAAAAATATACCAGCTCATGCTGCCAACTTTTTCTTTGAGATAGTCTCAAAGTGCTACAAGATCTCTGTAAATAATAATAATAATAATAATAATAATAATAATAATAACAACAGAATTCAAAGATATACCAGCTCATGCTGCCAACTTCTTTCTTTCAGATAGTTTCAAAGGTGCTACAAGATCTCTGTACATAATAGTAATAATAATAATAATAATAACAACAACATTAGAATTCAAAGCAGCTTATGCTGCCAACTTTTTTTTCAGATAGTCCCAAAGGTGCTACAAGATCTCTGTATACTATTATTATTATTATTATTATTATTAAGAGGTGGTGGTCAGGCCAGGCAAGTTTTTCCCTGGCTTGCAAACCAGGCATGAAAATAACAACATTAAAAATAATAAATAAATAATTAAATAAATAAATAAATAAATAAGAGGCAGTGGCCAAGGCCGTGCAAGTTTCAAGGCAACCCTTTCACCTCCGATTGCCAACAAGGCATGGAAAGAGTCTCATAATAATAAATATTAAATAAATAAGAGGCAGTGGCCAGAGAGCATGCAATCTGGTCA